CAGGAAGGTGAGGCTGTAATTGCTTAATTACACATCACTGTAACAGCGTAGAGTTCAAACCTGCATGCCAAGCTTTTATGGCTCTATCTGCCCGCCACGTCCTGGTCATCGTTCAGAACCTGTTTCTTACCTGGGATTTCTGCCTCGCTACAGCTTGGATTCCCCTCTGACCTGTTCCCCTCCAGCTGGTTTTTGAGGTCGAAGCTGACTGAGAGTGTGTGGAGCTGGGGAAAGGCGCTCAGGATGCAGCGAACAAGCTCTATGCAGGGCATGTGGGAGAAGACGTCGCTCACGCGCACCACGCGGAGGTGGCAGTCCGAGTGGCAGGAGAGGGCCCGGAGCCCAGAGAGGACACAGAAGATGTTGGCACCCAGGCCTGGAACAGCATTTGTACAGAAAGGTGTTAGCTGTGCCGGTACAGGCACCAAGCGCACACGCAGCTGGAGCTGCACCTGTGGCCGAACAACCCAAGTTAAAGGCTAAACTCACAGACTGCTTTATCCACACGTTCTTAAGACAGACCCTGTGTATGGGAGATGGAGATCTGGCTCCTTCCCTCGCCCTCTTGGATGGCGTCTAAGCACGTGGCCGGGGGCTGTTCTGGTGCAGAAGGGCCCCATTCTCTCCCTCAGACAAGTCCTCACACTCCTTAACCATCTCTACCAATGCCATTCTCAGGATCGGGTACCAACATTCTGACAATGCCCATGCCAATAAAAATAACACCAGGGTAAACCCAAGCAATAAGCCAGACCATTAGACCAAGGCTGGAAGGAAGCAAGCTGTTCACACCACTAACCATTGTAAGACAGAACCAAGTTTTCTAAAGACACCCAGGAGCTCAGCAGGTTACTCAGAGTCCGACACGTCTCCCCAGTCAAAGGAATGGAGAACAATTCCAGCGTGGACACGCTTCGGAAGCGGTGAGCAGCTTTCAGAGAAAAGATCCCAGCAGATCCTCCTCTCTTCTTACAGCCAGCATGGCCAGCGCATGGAGATCCTGGGGAGGAACTAGTCCGGTTCTCAGCGTTTTCTCCCTCTGTGGCGCTGTTTTTGTCAAGTAACCCTGAATTATCCTCTCTGGCAACAGTAAAAACAAAATCATATAGGTCTTCTGGGTCAGCATACGGTCCCCTGCTTTGTCTGAGGCAGCGACGTTTCCTCCCCACCGCAGACTTCAGCCGCCTGCGTATCTTTCGAAGAACGGGCTGACAGGACGGCTGGTCTGAGACGCAACGAGGAGAAGATCCTCCCTGGATGCTGGTGTGGTCGTGGGGCGCCTTGCTGCATGCCTCATTTCGCAAAGGGGGACTTCCCAGTCCGGAAAGGACAGAGTTCAGGCGAGCGTCAGCCCCACATCCATTCACCTCTGTGGCCCTGGGGCATCCCTTCTGGTTCTCGCCATCACTCCGCTCCCTCTCATCACAACGGCCCCGCTCTGCTCGCTCTCGTGCCGACTCCTGGCTCTGGGCTTTGTCCTCTCTGCAAAGGCTGCACGGGCTGCTGTGATACGAGAGGGCATTTCCCGAGCGCCAAAACCCCGCGCTCATGCTCAGAATGAGAACGAGAAGAACCGTGTCGGGAACAGGCCAGGAGTACATGGACACTTGGCTGACGGAGCCATGGTGAATCAGCCGGTGAAGAAGTAAAACCAGCGAACGCCTGATGGACTGGTCGGAGGAGAGGAGGTGCTGGAACTTCAGGATGCGCAGGGAGCCAGCCAGGTTTTCGAGCACTTGCTGGTTGTGCTCCGCAGCGAGCTCCACCGCGCCCTGCAGCATGTTGCAGAGGGTGAGCTGGGAAACGTGCGGGGAGCTGTGGAGCAGCGGCGAAAAGTGATGGTCGTTGAGACGCCAGTCCGAGGAAACATCCAAGACGCCGTGAAGAACGTTTGAGAAGAACGTTTCAAGGAATTTCTTCCTCCAGCAGGTTATATTCTGCAGTTAAACAGGGCCCTATTAACAAAAAGTCAGCCACAATTTTTCTCATTCTTTTTAAGTTAAATTATTGCTGTCTGCTAACCTGATAAATGTGGCATCCACACAGACCTGCGGCTCACACAACTGAGACTACCTTTCTAGTTCTCGACATCCTCAGCTGAAAAACTGAGTTACTGCCACCGCCTTCTCTTCATCCTGCTTCTGGACTAATATAAAACATATTCAGTGGTTTGAAGCTACGCCGTGGTTTTGCCTATGAAAAAACACGTCATCAGGAATTTCCTTCCCGAGCGTCTACTTACAGGCAGTGATTAAGCTGTCTGTTAACGATTCTTTTGCGATGCTGAATCAACGGAGCTGCTTCAGTTTTCTTACATAAAACCATTCTTCCAAACTCACTGACTTCTGTAAGTATTTTTCTAGTGCTTCCTACGACATCAGCATTCTTTTGCCAGCGTAGGTGCCAGCGTGATACAAGATATTGCTTTTACCCTCCATTTCCCTAAGAATTACACCGCTGAAGAAGGGATTTGTTCTTGGGCAGACTCGCTGTTGTGAGGCGAAGGGTGTGACCGTACGCTGCCGTTCCCTTCACAAACCCCATTTCCCAAACTGATTACACTTCCAGGGTCATGCCTCCGTCCTGAGCGGTACGAACGCTTGCAAACAAGCACCAGCAATCGCTCGGAGGCGGCCAGGAGCCCCGGCAGGCTTCAACATGAAACCTCGCGGAGGACGTCGGAAACGGGGCGCCTGTGCTGTGCCCCTTCTCCTGCCGGCAGCATCCCCTCACCTCCGAGTTGGGCGGCCTGGTTTTCATCACATCTTCCCACAGTTTGCGCCAGACGGGCTGCGTTGAGAGGCCTGCAGGGAAAAAAGAAAACCAACAAACCAGGCGCTTTCACAGAATCACAGAATGTTCGGGGTTGGAAGGGACCTCTGTGGGTCATCTAGTCCAACCCCCCTGCTGAAGCAGGGTCACCTACAGCAGGCTGTAGAGGACCTCGTCCAGGTGGGTCTTGAATATCTCCAGAGAAGGAGACTCCACAACCTCCCTGGGC